CATCTCCTGCTCGTCTGTTGCCATAGCGCCCTTCTGAATATCCATGCATCTAATCATGAGAGACCATGGATGAAAAGAGGCCAATCATATTTTAGGATTATTGGGGAAAAAACTTTCAATCTCAGAAGCCCTCTGGAAATGTCTCCAAGATCCCTGGCGTGTCCCTGGAATGCACTGAAACACATGCTTTGGGCACAGTTTTCCGTGAATATTAACAAGATCAATTCTGTCCTCCCTCTTTTCCTCTTAGCTTCCGTATCGTGTTATCAGAACATGAACACATCTCCACATCTCGACAGGGTTGTGTTCAGGGTGCAGCTACATAAACATCTACATCCAGCAGACAGCTAGCTGGTCGACATGGTGACTACTGTCACCCTTCTCAGGTGGTCCTGTAACCAATCAGCAGTGCGAGCATCACCAAGGATTCTTCATCTGCATCCCAATGTAGAGGATTCACAGTCTGGACAGGAAAGAGACTTTTAAGCTTATTTTCTGACGCTAAGTCTTTACTTCTATTATGACTGCAGGCAACATGCCACAGTTGCACTGGTAGTGCCTGTGACTCTACCCTAGGCAGAAATCACATGGAAATTTTCATAGCATATTATGACATGAATACCAATATCCTGGAAATTCACATAAGCTCCTCACTAACTCACAATCATGGCAGTCATTGTCATTAATCTTGTTAGTTACTGCATTAACACAGAAGTTTATATATCTGAAAAATGGCTTGATGTCTCTGTTTCAATACAGTGAATCTTATTTCCAAACCTTTCTAATTAGGTTTGATGCGTTTAGAAATATCATTCTGGGGCTGGGGTTTAGCTCAGCAGCATAAGCGCCTGCCTTGAAAGCAGGCTGTTGTGAGTTCGATCCCCGGTACCGATAAAAAGGAAAAAGACAAAAAAAAAAAAAAAAAAAAAAGAAAAGAAAAGATCTATGTATGGGCTTCACTAGATTGCTAAAGGGGTTCATGCAACCAAAAAAGCAAGAACCCCTGGGTGAAGCAACTTACTTTACCTCTCCAGACACCAAGTTCCTCTTTACAAGGAAGCTAGTCATTGTGGGACATCCTCTCTCCGCTGCCACACTGGAGCTGCAGCAGGAGGGATGTGGCATATATACGATGCCACAGGGACCAGTAAGAGTCTGCCTTTGGTCTTAACTCAGATGCATGCTCTGGACTCACCAAGGGAGCACTGCTGAACCACTGAGCAGCTAACAGTAGAAGGAAACACTTCCCCAAACTACTTTCTATCATGCTATAAGAGTAAGTATCAGACCGGGCATGGTGGTGCACACCTGTAATCCCAGCACTGAGGCAGGAGGATTGCCACAAGTTTGTGACCAGCCTGGCCTACAAAGTGAGCTCAAGGCAACCTGAACTGTACAGCAAGACCCTGTCTCAAAAAAAGAGAAAAAAAAAAAAAAACTCAGAAAATCCAACACATAATAAATTACTCTATAAATTACTCTACAATCAAGGGGCTGGGGATTTAGCTCAGCAGCATAAGTGCCTGCCTTGCAAGCAGGTGGTCGTGAGTTCGATCCCAGGTACCAGGAAAAAGACAAAAAAAAAAAAAGAATTTACAATCAACATAATCTACAGCTGTTCTTGACATAAAGCATTTATATAGAAGCTAAGGTTTCAATAACTCAAAGAATAATTTTTAGATTTATCATTAATATCTGCTTAAAATCTAACAGAAATGTTTTGTAACCTCAAATGCTCATTGAGGGAGAGAGAAAGAAGAAAGGGAGAGACCGAGAGAGGGGAAAAAAAGCTTTTGCCTGCCCTCATGGAAGCACCTTTGTCCCACTACCCGGTACTTCACACTGGGGTACTGAAGTACTTTAAAGAATCAAGTCTGTGAGTCCTCCAGCTCGCAAGGGCTACTCAGGCCCACTAATGCTAGCGACTGAGTCAACAGTACTATGTTCAAGAACCCCAAACTCAAGACAGGCTGCATGTCAGTCTCTGTGGAAAAATCTAAGTTAACTCAGGATCAGCCCACAGGGGCACTGAGAGAAAACAGGTTGGGAAGGCAGCCAGCGTCACAGGGCACCACCAGGGCGGAGCTCTGGGGCCTGTCCTCAGTGGGCAGGCCACCGAGGGGCAGCTCTGCATCATGGAGAGCGGGAGGCAGGACAGCTACCTGTGGCTTCTCAGAAACCAATCCAACCAGCAGCTGCTCAGGAGCAGAAGCATCCCCAGAGAGTCCGAGGAACAAAATGCTCCCCACCATATTTAAATAAATCAAGCTCAGCTGTTGTAGCAGAATTTTATTTATTTTTGCAGAACTAAGGACAGTGTGGAGGCCTTCACTTCTACCCAACTGAACTGAAAAGTTATAGTGAGGCAAATGAGGAGCTGAAGTTCAACCGAAGAAAAAGGCATTAAGTCGCCAGAGAAATCAAGTTGGTATGCTTGGGGAGCAGAACCCCGACATCAGGCAGCGTAGAGCAGAGTCCTCATCCAGGAGGGATACCTCCCAGCCAGATGCCTCAGTCAGGGCAGAATGCTCTGTAATTATGGTTTTTCTTACACATCCACACCTGTGTTAAGAATTTATAAAGTAGGAGTAGCAAAGACTAAAGACAAAGAACAGTATAACAGAACAATTATCCAACATACTATAATAAAAAGTTATGTGAATATGGTCTGGCTTTTCCTCTCTCCGGAAATTTCATTTGCAGACCTCCGATGACCACAGGTACCTGAAGCTGTGGAAAGTGAAATGGTGAGTCCCACACTCCCCAGGTACACCTGAACAACGGGTACAAAACTGTGACTTTCTGTCACTGATGAGAAGCTGAACAATAGAAGAGATGGCACAAGTTGGAACTCAGGAAGGGGCAGGAGAAGCTCAGAACACCTGGCAAAAAGCAAACTAGGAAGGAAGCGGCGGAGGTGATCTGAGCCCCAAGAGAGAGGAGGCAGAGTCGGGAGGGTTCTCTGGACAGGGCACAAGCACAACAGAGCGAAGTCCCACAGGAGGGACTCTGGGTGTACTGCATAAGAGAGAAGGGCAGTTTTCTGCATGGCAGGGTTCACTGGAGCTGTATGGTGACAGAGAATCTTATGAAAGAGGGCGGAACACAATCAGGTGACCTCAGAAGCCTGGGCTCCTGGGACCAACCATAGGCCAAGGTGTGCAGGTGGGGAGGCCACAGGAGTAGCAACGTGTTTTCAAACAATGGAGAGTCAGTGTGTGCTAACAGTGGGTCTTCAAGTCCACACCCAGCAGAATCGATCACACCTGGTGAAATAGTTGTCCCACATTATATCCTGGGACACTTTTGCTAACACCTGTGCCCTAGAAAGGCAATCCAGATATTTTTCTTGATGGATGATAAATAACACTAAACTGACTCCAGAACATAGGGAAAAATATTAAAAGGCAAACTCATTGTGCATGTTTCTATAACCATTAGCAAGGAAATAAATTTTTTTAAAAAACATTTTTGGAACAGGTGTGCGTCAATGACATCAATCATAACGTTTTTGCAGCTTTTAATGTAGTTAAACCAAATTAGAATTGACATTTTAGCAAGTAGTAACTGGGCTCCACTAAATATACTTTCATGCAGTCATCTGTGGTCCATCATATTCACAATTAACTGATTTCACCCGGTTTTCTATGATTCGACCCAGGCCCTTCGGCCTGCTGCCTGAATGCACCCCAGGCCCTGCCTGCTTCCCGTGCCTCATTTCCCGACCCGCTGGCTGCTCACTGCAGCACCTGGGGAGGACTCCTGGCCTTTTCTGCTGCCTGACAACCATGCCAAGCCCTGGTGATCTGCAGCAGAAGAAATGCCACATATAGTTTCGGAGTTGTACTCATGCGAGAGACCAAAGACTCTAAAAGTAACTTAAAAATCTTTGGAATAGAGTGAAAACAAGGAATAATTTTATACGCACACAGGCAGGCTCACCATCTGTGCCAATCTCAGACTACAATGAATAGGAGAAGCTTAACAAACTTGTCGTTTGGCTACAGAGGTGCAGTCTACAGAAATGTCTTTGAAATCCGCTTAGCTGTCCAAGCACAGAATAATATGGGGAGAGGGCGCTGCTCCCCCCAAAACCAGCAGGTGAGGGAATGGAGTGTAATAAAAGATTAAGTTTCAAATAGGCCAAATAAGAGGAAGTGCTGAAGTTGTCCCTCCTCCCCCAAACACACACACAACTCTCCCAGGTAAGGGCCTGGCTAAGGGCAGCAGCTTCCCACCTGACCTCAACCCCGCTCCTCCACAGAAAGTGAAAGGACCAGGGATTTTCACCAGGCCAAGGCTGCACGTGTACCATTTCAGATCCAAATCAATGCAACTGAGCAGTCTTCAGCACCCGCAGAGCTCCCAGGCTCCGCGGTCACGAATGCCACGCGCCGGTGAACTGTCCTCAGGCCCGCACAGCGAAACTCGAGGTTTCGCACGCTCCCACCCGCGCTCCGGGAAGCTCACCGCTTCCCACGCCGCACACTTCCTGCCTCTCCCATCACCTCCGCGGGCCACCATCCGCTTCCCCATTCTCTCCACAGCTGACGTCGGGATCCCAGTGCCTGGAGGCGGGAGGGGGCGGCTTCACCCCATCTCCTCACTCGCGGCGTCAGAGGACCTCTGAGGAGGCGCGCGGAAAGCATCGCACCATCCCGCGCGCGCTTCCCGGGTGCCGGACGGGGGCACCCCGGAACGCAGGGGCGAGCGGGACCCCGCGGGGCCACGGACGGCTCCGCGCCGATCTCTCCGCTCCTTGGGAAGCGCTGGAAACTACGGCCCCAAAGTCCTGCCCCACTTTACCACTCAGGCTCCCCAAACGCCGAGCGACCCCCCAACCCTGCCTCGGCGCTCCGGGGAACCTCGGACCTCTCCTGTCCCCGGGGCTGACAGTGGGAGCTCAGTCCCGACCGCGCGCCCTCCCGGCGGCCGGACTATAAAGCGCTCGGCCGGGCCGCTGCGGACGGACTTCGGGGCGGGCCGGGGCGCGCACTCACCAACCCCGTACTTCTGCCTCTTGGTCGGGATCCAGCGCGCCATGGCGGCGACCTCGCCCCGCGGCGGCGGCAAAGCGGCGGCGGCTACAGCTCCTGGGACTCCCGGCGCCGCCGCACGCTCCTGCGCGCCCCGGGCTCCTCCGCCATGTTCCGCCCAACTTCGCCGACTGCGCGGACCGCGTCCCTGCCTGCCGCACGGCACCGCGCCGCCCGCGGTCACCTGCTGGGCCGCCGGCCACCCCTCCCGGCGCCGCCCCGGCCCCTCCCGCAGGCCGCGCCCTCCGCCCGCCGGGGCCGCCCCTGAGTCCCGCCGCGGGCGCCCGGCCTCTCCCGCCCTGCGGGCTCCGCGCCGCGGCAGTGCGCGCTCGCTGGGAACAGCTTCCCGGGGCAGCGGTCGGATCGCGAGTTTCCTGAGGTTCGCCCTGCAGCAGGCTGCACCCCGCCGGGAGGTTTCCTGGCCGCGGCTCCCCGAGGCTGCGCTGCAGGCGCTGGGCACAGCCTGGCGGCGGCGGTCACAAAGCTCGAACTGAGCCCCCACCGCGTGCCGAGGCCCAGGAAAGGAGCAGGAACTCGGGAGACCTGCTTCTCGCCCCCAGGCCCGAGCTCGGCGAGCGCTCAAATAAATATTTGTGGAATGAATGAGCAGTGGACTATTGCGTGCGCCCCCTTAGAGCTTTCGCAGACACCCGAGAGGCGGAAGCTGCAACTCGGGGCAGACAGGATCTCTTGGGGCCACCACTGCAGAGGCAGAACGTTTGTACTCTGGCAAACAGAACTAGAGCAAGGGAGCTGGCGTTTCAGAAGGATCAGATCATTTCCTGGGATCCTCTATGGGAAAAGAGGCACGCAACCCTAATTTGGAAACCCCACGACCTAAAACACCGGGATTCCTCCCCAACTGAAGTCATCCAGACTTTTACGCACTTGGGAGTAAAGGTCTGCCTCCAGGACCTCCCCCTTCCTAGTGGCCGGTGGCCAGGAGAGGGCCCCACGCCGAAGAGGCGCGGTGTGCATCGCTGACCCGTAGATGAGGAACCTCAAGCAGGCACTGCGCGCTGCAACTGATTTAGGCTGTAGGTGGCGCCCTCTTTGGGACAACTTTCTGGAAAATGGAGCAGGGGGAGTCCAGGAGCGCTTTTGCTGCCTGCTTCACACTGAAAAGTCAAGTCACAGAGTAGATAGCAGCTAATTATGCGCACCTTCAGGAACACATTTCCAGCAAAAACTGCATTGTCCTTGCGGTCAGTGGACGTCTTCTAGCCTTTTTAAAACATGAAAGGAAGATAAGTGTGTAGTGAAAGTTAGTAAAGTTCAATTTGGAGAATTTAGTGCACTGAGCAGTGGTGACTTGTGAAGCCAGGCCTGAATTCTGGGTTGTTTTGTTTCAATCTTGCTTTCCCACTTTGGATTTAAATACTAGGAGTTACTTTCCTCTCTATCAACTAATAGGTGTCTGTAAACAACATGTCACTAAAAAAAAAAAAAAATACTTCCATCACTTCAGACTTGGCATCCAGAAGGAATCCCCCCCCACACACACACACGAAGGATTTCTCTTCTTTGGTTATTGGCATCATAATGAACTTAATTGCCCAGATATGGTAATTTCTCCTCCCTTCTTTCCACAGATACTAAGTACCTATTAAGTGGCAGGCATTGTTGCAGAAATAGAGGCACAGCAGCAAAGAAAGTGAAACCCCTACCTCTGCAGAGCTCACTGTGCAGGAGGGGAAAATAAGAGGGGAACAAGTGTAAATCAGATGAGCACAGGCCTTAAAAGACTCCTAGTCCCCAAAAGAGGAGGACATGTTGTGGAGTGCTACTGTTTCATACAGAAGATCTGGGATGGCATCTGTCGTGGTGGTGGGGAGGTAATTCTGGGCAACCAGAAGAACTGCAAATACAAAGGCCTCTCAGCCAGGTTTGATAGCTTCCAGGCCAGCAAGGAACCCTGAGTAAGAGTGACCCAGAGAAAACTGCTTCAAAGTGTTCAAGTGACCGGAGGAAAAGGAACCGTGATAGCATAAGGACTTTATATAGTGCTATGATAAGAGAAGTTTGGAGAGATTTAAGCCAGTGGTACTGGGGATTGAACCCAAGGTGTTGCATGCTGACCTATATCTTCAGCCCTTTTTATTTTTATTTTTATTTTGAGACTGGGTCTTGATATGTTGCTGGGCTCAAACTTGCCAGCCTCCTGCCACAGATTTCCAGTTCGCTGGATTACAGGTGTGCATACAACATCTTCATACGTTGACATTCTTCTCAGCAACTGCTCCTGGGCATTGTAAGTAACTGCAGCCCTTTGCCAGGACCATTGGACATTCCTGCTGTGGCGCAGGGCTTCTAGAAGTTACTTCTTTCATCTGTGTTTGAGGATATGGATGATCTCTGTTGTCCAACCATGAACATATTTTTAAATTCAATATATAGTAGAGTGTTAATACTCTTATCCAGTGGTACTTAGCTTTTTTCTAAATTGATTTCAATTGTTTCACCCCATCCTTCCTTATAGGCTCTGCAAAACTCGAGGTTTGGATTTGGGCATTGCAGTTTTCAAGTCTGACAATAATTGCTTTAAGAGAGTTGGAGGAAAGAGGAAAATTTTAATTACAGCTTTTGTTGGGAGCCGCAGCCCCGAGCCCGGTCGCCTTACTTGGCGGACGTGAGGCCTGTAGGAAAGAGCAAAGCCTGAGTTAGATTACCCCTCCCATCGAGCACGTTAGTTTCCTGCTTACCGTGTAAACAACCCGCTCAATAATATGTTAGCCAATCAGCTTGCCTTGCTTACTTTAATATGATTGGACACTGTATCCGTATATATACTGGTGCCACCCCTGGGGGGAAGTAGAAGCCCGGAAAGAGCTGCAGAGAGCGGACCGGTAGAGGCTTCGGAGCGAAGCCCGGAAGGAGCCGCGGAGAGCGGACCGGTAGAGGCTTCGGAGCGAAGCACGGAAGGAGCCGCGGGGAGCGGACCAGAGGAGGCTTCGGCTGGGAGCGATCCCAGGGCAGGCTGTACGGAGAGAAAATAAAAGAAAAGGTTGTCCACTGCCAGACTTTGTCGTGTGTCCTTCCTGCCGGCCGGGAGCGACATCGACAAGCTTTTAGTTTGTTTATTCTTTTCCTTCTGAAGACTGAAGTCTTCCCACTTTGCACTATTAGATAGTTGAATCCCAGTTTGAACATCCATTTAAATCTTAAAAGTATAGCTATTCAAAGTCTTTTTTTAAAAGGAATCCAAAATTAGAGAGTCCACCAGACGGGTAGGTGGCATGACAGCATGCTTCCCAAAAATATCCTTTTCCTTTTCCCCTGATATCTTTGCAGAAGAAGCATTAAGTGTATTCCACAACCAGAGATACACACATTCTGAAGGCAGAAAAACACAATCATATTTCTGTAGGACTGGCCTGGGAGAGCCTGGGGGAAATGAATGATCATAAATGAATTTGGAGGTTAGTTTGACCTGAAAACTTTTGAGTGTCCCTGATCATGCCTAAGAATGGATGGACAGGACCATAAAACAGCTGACCAAAGCTACACTTTCCCCAGGGATCACTAGGTTTAGTTTGCCAAATCTGGCTGATTTGACTTCTATTAAAAGAGTTCCTCCCGCCCTCAGAGGGAGGAGGATTGTTCTTTGAACCTACACATGAATGAGTGACTGCTAGAACTAGAAAAGATAACAGTAAGACTGACTTATTGTCATTGGTTCTAAGCAGTATTTTTCGGATTCCTAAGGGCAAATGCTTGGGATCAGGATGGTCCCAATGTATACCTGTAACAGGTGATACCAGGACCATGGTGGTCCAGTATGCTGGAATTGGGCCATCAGGAGCTGGTGGGTGGGGGAGGGGGACCCATTTTTCTGACTCTAGTTTTCCCTGTGGAAGAGGAGATGATGTCAGACTTCTAATGCTTTTCTGCCCCTTGCCCCCATCATGGGAAGGTTGATAGTTGGTCATCACAGTCACCCTTTTCACAAAAGAGCGAAACACTCAGCTTTGTTTCTAGAATGTACCTCGCTGCAAATGTCTCAGCTGAGACCACGGGGAGGGGACTGGACACCATTGTGAGCAATGGGTAGTCATTTGTTGGTTGAAAACTAGATCCATAGTCAGGTGAGGTGGAATCAAAGCTACCTGATCTAAAAAGAAATCTTTTATATACATCTTGCAAGATTCCTACATATGCTTTAGAAAGCAAAGGTCCTGGGCTTTGGTGGTGGATGTCTGTAATTCCAGCAATTTGGGAAGCTGAGGCAAAAGGATTACAAGTGTGAGTCCAGCCTGGAAACTCAGTGAGACTTAGTAAGGCCCCTGTCTCAAAGTAAAAAGGGCTAGGGTTATGGCTTAGTATGAAGGCCCTGAGTTCAATTCCCTGTGCTGCAAAAGCAAACAAAAACCAATTATTATGGTAGATACACTGTATCAATTTGCAAAGTTTAGAAATTTAACTAAGAGACTCAGCAGGTAGCCAAGATCCTTATTTTGTAAATATCCTCAGCCTGTTCAGGAGGTGGGCACAGAGGTGGTATGACTGCTACTTCAGCCCTGGGGGGCTGGGGATGGTCTACATACAATATAAGAGAGGAGAAGAGGTTTGCTCTCCCCCTTTTGCTGGCTGCTGTCTTAAAGTGTTGCCCCTCAGCCATGCCACCCTGCCTTGGAGCCAGCTGATTATGGACTGAACTTCCACAAACAGTGAGCTAAATAAACCTTTCCTCCCTTCATTTTGGGTGTCAGGAATTTTGTCCCAGCAACCAAAGAAAAGTAACCAACGCATGGGTCTTCTCAATATTGTTTAGAACAAGAGATAATGAAAACAGCAACATGGAAAAATTATGATGCAAATTTAAGTGAAAACAGTTAAAACTACATATGCCACACTAATTATAACTACAGAAAACCATATTTTTACATGGAAATTATCATACAAAAACATGAAAAAATTGAAAACTTTTCAGAACACAATAAATCAAAGAACACTACTTGTTTGCTGAGGTCTCTGGGATACAAAGTAAGAAAAGGAAGTTACGTGGCTACACTTGACCTTCATCATTTATGAAAAGAGTGGAGTTTCATCTGTCACTTTCTTGGTCACAGTGACATTAGGACTGTATCTCACAGATGGCCATCAGATTCAGCAGATTTTTCTCCCTATCATTTTGTGGTTAAGAAAACAAACACTTGTTCTAGATGTTTTATTTACTGTCAAAACAATTTCATTGTTCACAGTCACCAGTGATAGAGTAAGAACAATATCTAATGTCTATGGAATAATATATACCTGGCTACTTAATGAAATAAATATAACTCTTGTCATCCCCACCTTACCAATCAGGAAATCATGGTTGAGAAGAGTTAAGAAAATCCTTGCATAGTTACTTAGCAGTAGAAATAAATCCAAACTGAGAGTTTGATTCCAGGGCCCTGGTTGGATAGCAGAGCTAGTGGATTTTTTCAAAGGGGTTATATATGCTTTGAGGATCATATGAACTTTATTGTGATTAACCACTCAACTCTGCAATTATGGCAGGCAAGTAGCCATAGACAAGATGTAAATAAATGAGTGTGGCTGTGTTCCAGTAAAAATTCATGTGTAGGCATGACATTTGAATTGCACATAGTTTCATATGCATGAGATGTTACTAAGCTTTGGAT